CCCCTGCCCCCCCCGCCCATCCATCTATCTTGTTCCAACCATTTGGGCAGCTGTCACTTAATCCAGCTAATCAGACTGGGCTGGTCTGTGGGAAACAGGCTTGTCCCCAGCTTTGATTGGACCGTTTACTGAGCTTTGATTGGACCGTTTACTGAGCTTTGATTGGACCGTTTACTGAGCTTTGATTGGACCGTTTACTGAGCTTTGATTGGACCGTTTACCTTTTTTATTTTTCTGTAAACTGAGAAAAACAAGTTCCTGTGAGCAAACGGTGCCTCCTGAGGTCCGTTTCTTCCAGGAAACCTTTGAATTTTACCTTGAATGTGTGTACAGGACTCACACACACACACACACGCGCACGCTCAGACACACACACACACACACACACACACGCTCAGACAGGAGCAGCCAGCCCTTTTGTGGTTGGGGGGGATGGGTGGAAAGGTCAGAAGCTGAGTTACATGTCGTGGGATGATGCACGTTCATGTCATGTAATCCATCTTTGAGGCTGCATCTGTTGCACGTCTGTGCTCGCTCAGGGAACACCAGCATCACTCAGATCTGAAAAACTCCCGTCTCCTTGGCTCTCCATCTAAACCCCCACCTCGAGGCCACCCTCTTACCTGTTGAAGTGGTCAACCTTAGCTTTGCGCTAACCCAACACCTTCCCTCCTCTTCATGTGACTGGTGGTCTTCCACAATAACACTCCCTCCCACCACCACCCACAGCCAGACAAGCCTGTTTAATCCCACAGCCCAGCAGCTACCAGCCTGCCGGTCCCCCCCCACATCAACAAGGCTGCTGTCGCCTCTAATTCTGTCTCACACATCCTCACGTGTTTGTTTTTTATACCCCCCCCCCATAATCGAAGATCCCATCAGTGACATTAGAGGTCACAGCAGTCACACTGTGACCACTACAACTGGAACTGGGAGTGATGTAATGAGAGCTATTTAGGTCAGCTGGTTGCCTAGCAGTGATGCTGGTTTGCTTAGCTAGTTTCCATCTGTGTGTGTGTGTGTGTGTGTGTGTGTGTGTTTACATCACACACTCTTAGATTTACCTCAAACCAATCTTTGACTGCAGAATAAACAGAACTCTGAACATCTTTATATAAAAAGTCACAAATGTTGGATAAAAACACTTCAAGCTAAAAATTTCAGATCAAAGTCTGAAACTCGTTCAGTTAAATGTTGTCTGGAGAAACTCCACATCAAGACTTGTAAAAGTTGTTTTCAGACATTGTTAGGTCTGGTTTTGACGTTTCCATCATGTGTTGATAATGTTAGCATCACTCTGCCTGTCGGCTGTGAACCATAAGTTGGTATGAAACTAATCCACTTAGCGGTGACAGCCGAGGGCTAAGCTCGCTCATCTTACTGTTGGCAAAGTGACCTTATTGTTGGCCACGCATGACAGGAAAGGCTTAAGTTTTTATAAAAATGAGGCAAATACAACATTTATGCTGCTTTTTTCTTTTTCCTTTCGTCAGCACTCCAACTGATCAATTATCTCTGTTAGGCTGCAGCTCATTTTTATTTATTGTATGCTAAAGAAGCAGCTTTGACTGGGATGGAAATTGGTTGTTTTTAGGAATTAGCTGAAAGCTAAGCTAACTGTTTGAAAATGCACAGGCTATGTTCACACTGTAGGGATTTTTTTGCATGTAAACAGTCCTGAAGCGACTTACATGCACAAAAGTAAATATGTTGTTAGCATGTTAGCATGTGTGGAAGCATTCTGCAGTTGAGCAACCAGAGCCAATTAATTAATTAATTAACAATGTTTACATTTGATCTTTCCACTTCCTGCATCCTCTGGTGCAGAATTGCACTCCTGGAACTGGAGTGAACTTCTAGAAGTGGAAATAAACTCAAATATCATCCCATGGTGCTAATATCTGTATGATATGTTTCTGTACCACCGTTAGCATCATAGGTTAGTGTCGACTCTGTCCTCCAGAATATAACAAATCTAGAAGGTTTAAAAAAGAAGCAACTGGAGCTGAAGGTGAACAGAGTTCTGGGCTTTCATCTGCATGACGGTACTGACTAATATCTGGATCGATCCATATAACCCGACCTCTCAGACTTTCATCTTTGATGGATCAGAGTGTAGCCAAGACCCAAGGTCCGCCCCTTCCCTCGTTCTGATTGGCCAGTAGGCCTTTCCAGTGTGTTTGAGAGCGAAAGCTGCATTTCATCTGGAGAAATGTCTGTTGGTGAACCTGAATATRGGCACTAAGGCTGCCATGATTAGTCGACTAGTCAACGACTAATCAACTATTAAAATAGTCGATTAGTCTTTTTTTGTTCTTTACTTTGTTTTTCTCTCCAAACGTCTTTGACACCTTCCACTGCCACGTCTHCCTTTCTGTCSTTGACACACATGCACAGTAGTGGTAACTGGGGTAGGRCGTGGACGTCACAAGACATTATACAGACAGGCTCTGGTATCATGGCTACCTGACAACAGAGCTCAAAGTGTGGCATCATTTTAAGAAAATGAAAGAGAAACCTGTGTAATATCTGCAGAGCAGAACTTACCTTCCACAGCWATTATTTTTAGTTAGCATATAGCTAAAATCTAACCATGGTTATATAATAGCAGCTGCATTCTGGCGCGATAAGCTGGATGTTTTATATTCAATTAACGTTTGATCTGATTAGTCGACAATAAAAATAATAGTTTGTGGCAGCCCTAATCGGCACCATGCACTGAGGGCGTTGGTACACGGAKATGGGGTGTTGCAAACCCAAAAGAGGGTGTGGCTAACCCAAAAAGGGGAGTGTCAAAACCGAAGAGTGTTGGATTGTTGCTACGACGTCCCTCCAGCTAAAAGCCTGATGAAATGATGGTTTAGACCAGTGGTTTCTAAATGTTTCTGCTTCTCACCCACAAAATATCAGCAGGAGAGCCCTGTGTCTAAAATAAACACAAGTATCAGGTCAAAGTCATAGTAATAGTATTTAACTTGAGTGGTGTTAAACAGCAGCACAGGATGCAGGTCTGACTCTGGTTTGTCCCGTTCAGATGAATCAAATCAGATTTGGGTTCATTTGACTGCAGTTTGACAGAGTCTGATGACATCATGGTTGGTTTCATCTGCTGCTTCAGCTCTTCTGACATCACAAACACACTGACTTCCTGTAAAAACGGCTGTAATTGTTGGAGCTTTATGTCAGCGTGGTGTCACGTATCAAACAGAAATGTTCAGGTTTCACGCTTGTTTTCATTGGAGCAGCCGTGGTTTAGAGTCACAGGTTCATTCTGAGAGTTTCACTTTGGAGAAGCTGTGGAGTTTCACTGAAGCTTGTGTGTGTGTGTGTGTGTGTGTGTGTGAGTCTGAGCCACAGTTGCGACCCTCCTGGCAGCCTGGATGTTCTCCTGCTCGCGGCTCTGGTTGCTGTTTCTTGGCTCCACACTTGTAACTCTCTGTAGCTCCTCTCTTATTTCTCTCGTTGGGTTTCATTGGTGAAACTCGAGCTGCATCCAGGTAACGAGGCCAAGGCGCGTACGACACACTGTGTAGTAGCAAAGAAATGGATTTTATTTTTTGTGCATCAGTTGTGTTGTTGATGCTTGTGTCAGAGCTGGATCCTGTGTTCCTGCTTCACAACAGGAGCACATTATGATCATTGTCACGTTTTCTTGGCACTTAATCAGGGAACAAAATAACAAAGGCTCTCATGTTCTTGTTGTGTTCCTTTTGTGTTGTTGTTGTTGTTGCACAGAAGAGACAAACGTGCCATCATTTTAATAGAATAAAGAAAATATAAAGTCTGTTTCAGTTGCAAACAGTTTGTTTTGTTGCTCAGGCGTCTCTGATTGAACTGAACTTTGTGCATCGAGTCATTAAATTATTTCTCTTCTGTCTCCAGCGGACGTACACGCTGATCGTGGAGGCTTGGGACTGGGACAACGACACACGCAGCAGTAAGTTAAACCTCTCCCATCTTTATTCTCTGGTTTTACTCTGTCCTGATGGGAGGAAGGTCCTTAAAGGGACAGAGACCAAGTTCAAGGTGTTTAGAAGAGGAAGTGATGAAGATAAGTTTATTTTCTCTTTAAACATAAAAACAACATTTTAATAACAACTAAAGGTGACATAGATACTTTATTATGGTATAGTATTTAAATATATGCCTGAGAAACACATATTGGCCCTTTTYTATTTTAATCTCATCTACGTGTCGTTTTAAATTAAATACCTGAAATGTGAACATTTTGAAGCCTTTTTTTGAGCGCTGGCTGCAAAAAGCATTATTTTCAGCAGAAAACCCTCAAAATTGTTGTAAATTTCCCTGCTTTCTAGAAAAGCTTTTTCTCTTTTCAGCTGGTAAAACTTAATATTGTAATATTATTTGAGGTTTTCTATTTAAAATGACATCAAATAAGAGATTCAGACTAAATATCACTGATTTATCCTGAGTAGGAAACAAATGTGGAGCTGCTCATGATATCAGGAGTCATTTGCAGCTCAAGCTTTAATAAAAAAAACAGTAACTAATAAAATCAGATTTTTAATGTTTTTTTTTAACTAAAAATGAATCAAAAACAAGCATTTAAGACTGTTTTGAAAGCTTACAAGAAAGTCTTACTGCAGCAGAAATGTACGATGGATTAAAACCGACCTGGACCTGCACCTGCACCTGCACCTGGACTGGACAGGTGGATCTCTGAAGGCCCAAACCTTTCAGTTCAGGTCTTGTTGGTGTTTGACCAGCTGGATCCTGTTTTCTTTGGGCTCTGCCCGCCTGCTGGACCCTGAACCGTCACTTTTCTCCCCGTCTGTGCAGCAGCTCCGTCTGGGAGGAGGACCTGAATGTCTGAGCGCAGCTTTGATCTGCGTAGATCCAGGTTTTTCATGAGTCTGTTGCACTTCTTCTTGTTTGTGAGCGTTGATTCACTCGTCCCCTCTGCCTTGTTTGTGAAGTCACTGCGTCCTGTTTTGTCCACACCATCAAACAGACTTCCAGCCCCGGACCGAGACAATTGAGAAGAAATAGATTGTGACATCACGGCTCTTTGATTAGCCCCGTCTCGTCTCATGTCACAGTAATTGTGTACGTTTTGCAGCTCTGATGGATCTAAGAGCCGAAGTGATTGCTCAGAAACATTCCAGCTGACTTCCTTCCAGCTCCTTACGTTCAGCTCGCGGCCAAGTTTCTGTAAAAACATTAAACAAATGTGTTCCTGGTCCAGGCTTACACGGCTCCTGACACACTTTTAGTCCTTTCTTAGTAGATTTATGTCACTGCAGTAAGAAAAATGAGCTCTTCTCCATTTTTATCCCTGGCTCCAGGGGTGGTTTTGTAATTTGTAACTCATATATTGAAACATTTAAAGAGAGACTAGTGTTTTTGTCAAAAAGTTCGTTTATTTCAYCCTCATGGGTTTAAAAACAAAAGCTCCTTTCAGCGTCTGTGGAGAGTCTTTGAAATGCTCTTTTCTATTTTTTTCTCTAAATATTTTGTATTTTATTTTCTCTAAAGTCCATATTTTAAGATGTTACTCATTTTTTTCCTCCACGTAAACAGTCATGTGCTTTAGCCTGAAGAAAATACTTTAAAATTAATGAGTTTTGATGACATTTTTTATTAAAAAACAGCCAAAGTTTTATAATTTCAACAAAACATTCAGTGGTGCTTAAAAATCAGCATGAAGTTGATGCTAGCCATTAGCTATGCTCAACTGATTAGCTTGTGTGATGTGGCTAGCCTTTAGCCTAGCCTGAATAATTAGCTTATGTGATGTGGCTAGCCTTTAGCCTAGCCTAACCCTTTCTTGGAAAATAAAGTTCCTCACGTTTCACGTAAAAAAAAAAATCACACAAATAATCAAACTATTTCATAATTAGTAAAATGTGTGACTTTAATGTTCAGTATTWTAACAGTTTCCTGTTTAACTCACATCTTGATGTGTTTCTCATGTTTTATCTTATTTCTCACTGAATGTTTCGCTGCTTTAAACTGTCATGTTCTGACACAAGCTGAGCCTAAAACAGCTTCTAAACTCAATAAATCTAAATTATATTCATTATTTTAAAGCACTTGGACACATTATGTCAAAAGAGTGCATTAATTCAGTTTAAAACTGAGCTGGACGTCATGGAAGAAGACTTTTGGCACTTTTACATTTGATAAATGGGAATTGTGAGGAAAACCCAACAATTACTCCTAAAGTTAAAGGTGCAGGTTCGGCTGAACTAAGAGGTGAACATGTGTCGAGGCATGTTTCTTTTTTTCTGCTTCAGCCTCGTAGAGATGTGGTTTCTCCTCAGCATGGTTACATTTTTTATCCCGCAGAACAAACACACTTTTGTCTTCAGGATATTCAAAATATTCAGTGAAAAGTTCAGCTTTTGTTGGGATCTTAGTGTTAAAATTAGTTTACAACGTGACTCCGATGATTGAAAAATGATCGTTAGTAAAGTTCAGCTCTTTTAAAGTTTAAAGTGGGGATTTATGGAAAAGCAGTAAATATCTTACCTGTTGTAGATAAAATTTTAAATGACTACATTGTGAAAAAGAAAAACACATCTGAGAGTATGTCTGGTCTGAGTGAGACCACTGTGTTAAAAACAATCCAGTCTTTAACATGTCATTGTTTTCATGCAGTAGTTGGTTTATAAATCTTTACACTGAAGTCAGGTTTGTGTGTTTGTGGTTATTAAAGCTCCATGGTTTTGGGCCCTGCCTCAGCTAGTGATCAGTCTATTCAGAATTAAACATTTTACCCATTTTATCTTAAAAACTAAGCCAACATTCYGCCCCCTGAAGCAGATGAACCAAAGAAGAGGAGACCTTACAAGCCTGAAATATGAGATTATATCATGTCTGTCCTGAGTCAGCACCAGTCTCCTGTCTGGTTCTACTTCGGACCTGGTCAGATTCCTGTCCTCCAGCGTCACGTCCTCTGGCGGGGCTACCCCCTACCCACCCTTGTGTTCTCAGGAAAGGCAGCTGGCTGTTTTTCTTGTTTATCGAACAGGAAGTGGAGTGGACCGGGCGACCGGGCTCTGTGTTTAGACACTTGGTAGCAGGGACCGGCTTGGGCCCGGAGCCCATTGTTCTCTATCTGGCAACAGGCGAGGGTTATTTCTGTTGTTGTTGCTTAATTCTGACTGACATTGTGTAAGTCCCCCAGCAGAGGAAGGGGCATGTGTGTGTGTGTGTGTGTGTGTGTGTGTGTGTGTTCCTGCTTCAAATCATGTTCATGGAGCCCACTGCACAGCTTTGAACCACTTAACTTTACAGCAGGTTGTCTGCTAAAGGCTGGTTTCATGATGCTTCTGAAGAAGTCCTCACCATCAGCAGAATATGGATCAATTCAGACAATGAATTTACTTGTTTGACATTCAGGCCTGTGTAGGCTCGCCTGCTTGTTTTAGTTTAGTTTTAACTGRTGCTTTTAGCCTTTGCAGCTTGAAACAAAGCTACAATTGTTTGAAGTCGTTGCAACATAATTCGTAATTTAACTGCTAAAAGTTTAACTTGGTCGACTTGAAACCCTTTGTTTCTAAAAACATCCTCGTAGACACGAAACTGTTTCTAGAAACGTTTACGTCCACACGGATGACCCAAAATGTAGCGCTAGCTGTCTGGTGTAGTAGCTATGCCAGACCTGCAGGTGGCGCTGTGACGCTGGTTTGGAAATACACCAAGAACAGGAAACAAGAGGTGGAGCGATCTTTACTGGAAATACACGAAGAAAAAGACGAGAATGGCAAATACAAGAGCTAAAACAAACCAGCTAAATAAACTTTATTAATATTTCACAGCTTTTAAACGCTTATTTAATGCATATTTTATTATTGTTGGCAGTTAAATAAAATGTTTTAAACCTTTAGCCTTTGACTCGTGGAGAAAAAATATTCAATTCAATTCAAAAATACTTTATTGATCCCAGAGGGAAATTAGGTGTTGTTGTAACTCATTTAAGTAAAACCTTATTGTAGATGTCTGTATTACAGCGAAGGTGAAGAAGCCTCCGACTGAAGACGCTTAAAATATGAACCTTTCAAGGATATTTCTCACACTTGTGTATATTTTTGTGTGAATTAATTTTTTACTGAAGCTATTTGACAAATATTTACTTATTTATCCATTACAACTTAATATCTATAACCTGTTGTGTGATTTGCTGTCAGTCCAAATGTTCTATTTTGGAATAAAGAGGTCAAAAATAAAAATGTGGGAGTTTTTTTGTTTTCCGATTAATTGATAAATTAAAAAAATTGAATAATTTATTATAATAGTTAGTTGCAGCCCTACTGTTGGTACCTCAGGAATACTAAAGTTTGTTTAGAGGTTAGTTTTTATTAGTGTTTAAGGCACTGTCACTATATAAATCTGCTTATTTTAAGACATTAATACATCTTTGAAGCTCTCGCAGACCAAATAAAATGCTCTCAAGGGCCWRATTTGGCCCGCGGGCCTTACGTTTTACACATGGTTTAGGTTGTTTAAACCTTAAGATACAGTTTCAAGATTTGGAGCCTGATTTTTAAAGTTACTTTTTAACATGTTTGTGTGTATTTATTTAGGCGGGGCCTTGGATTCATTAAACTTGTGTTTGCTAGTTTTGTGTATTTTAATGGTTACACACTAAATGTTAACATCTTACTYCTGTTGCTTTTTTAGGTAATTTACTTGGGTTTATTTCATTTATGAATGTGGTAGTGGATTGAAACATTTGCAGATAATTTTCTAAAGGGAAAAGTGAAATTTAAGAGCAGCTGCCTGTATTTATTTTCTAGAAGACACTAAAATGTGCCCAAATAGTTTGAGTCAATAAACCATAAAAGTAGGGAGTTGTTTTTTCTTCAGTTTTTTACAAACAGGACTTGAGTCAGTTTTTATTAAAGTAGACTAACAATGTAACAGCAGCAGAACCTGACTCATCTGAACTCCTTTTTGTTGTTTTTGTTGTTTTGTACTTTACAAGCTGTACTAAGCATCAGGAAGGAAATGAACCAGAACTTTTATTCATCTCGACTGGATTTAATTCTGAACATCCTGCCTTCATCCTCCTTTCAGACGAGGAGCTCCTGATCGAGCGCGCCACCCAAACCGGCATGATCAACCCCGGCGATCCGTGGCAGACGTTCTTTCACGACGGGCCGGTGGCTCGCCTGGTTTATCGTATCCGGGTGCGGTGTGACGAGAACTACTACGGGAACAAGTGCAACAAGCTGTGCGTTCCTCGGGACGACTACTTCGGCCACTACCGCTGTGAGCCTTCAGGGACCCAGGTGTGCCTGGACGGCTGGATGGGTGCGGACTGCAGGACACGTGAGTTGATGGAGAAAAATGTCTGAAAATGACTCTTTATCAGGTGCACAGGTGTGAAAGGGATGGTGCTAATTTAAAGTATTCTGTCAAGTGGTCAGCAAGTTGTGACATCACTGATGGAGCACAAAGTTTGGAGAAAATGGTGGAAGTGTTTGTTCAGGCTAGGCTAATGGTTAGCATCACAAGCTAATTGTTCAGGCTAGGCTAATGGTTAGCATCACAAGCTAATTGTTCAGGCTTGGCTAATGGTTAGCCTCACAAGCTAATTGTTCAGGCTAGGCTAATGGTTAGCCACACTAACTGATCGTTTAAGCTAGGCTAAGTAAGTAAAGTTTATAAAGCACCTTTCAAAGACAAACATCACAAAGTGCTTCACAGATCACAATGAATAAACAATAAAAACACTAACCCTATTAAGAAACCTATAAAATGAGCTCTGGTTTAGCTAGCAGTTAGCCTAGCCTAGCCTAGCCTGGATGAAAACTTGAACCCTTTTCCTCCGTAGTAGTCTTTGACTGTTTAACAGAACATCGCTTCAAAAATGATCGAACAGTCCTTCTTCCCTTGCCTTAGCCATTGATACCAACCATGCCAGGCTAGTTACTTTGCATTTTTTCTTAATTATTAAATGTTTAGGAACCACCTTCCACATAATCACCACCTTATCAAGGTGGAAGGGTTTGAGTAACCCCGGGGTATATTGTCTGGGGCTTTAGCCCCTGGTAGAGTCTCCCATGGCAAACAGGCCTACATTCAGGAGAGTTTTCTCCATGTCCCGGGGGAGGTCGAGGACATGGAGTCCAAATGATCCATGTACAGGACCTCCATTGCAAATGTGGCTTCCAGGAGCTGTGGCCTGAAGGTCAATGGTGCCTGTCACAGRAACTAAAGGACCCATTGGTGGACACCATTGGTGATGGAGGCCGTCAAGCTGAAGGAGAYTTCCTTCAGGACTCAGCTTTCTCAGAGGACTCCTGAACAGCTGATGAGTACAGTGTAGAGTTTAGATTATAGCTCYAGTACAAGTCTGACTCCAAACCCCAAACCAATTTCAGGTCAAGTTTGGGCTGAATTTATATGCTTAATGGTCAGATCAGGTTTCCATGGCATGTTTTCAATAAGCCTACAATCGTCCACATGGCTACAGCACAGAGAAAACTAAACAGGAATGAACGATCTAAAGTTGAGCTACAGATTATAGTCTAACCCCACCCTGTTGAGGAAAAGTGAAGCACAGCACACTGCACACGTACTCTACTGTTATCTGATTAGATAAAAACCTGTCCGTCCGTCCGTCCGTCCGTCCATCCATCCATCTTTTCAGGGTTGTGGGGGTCACTGGTGCCCATACCCAGCAGTCACTGTGTGAGGGGTGGTCTAAATATGAAAACATTAAAAGCTTATTGTATTTATGCATGTAGAAATATTCATCCTCAAAAATCGTCCATAAAGTTGGGGAGTTGTYTTACACGGGAGTAAATTCTAACTGATTTTTTTTTTCTACCACAATAAATGTACCATAAATATTTTCTAGTAAAGGACTATAACTGAAAGACTGTCACGGGGAATGAATCATCAGTTTTTCCTGCTGTATGTCAGACAGCTCACCTGATGAACCACAGGCATTTTTTTTTACGTGGATCTCAGGTGTATGTCTGCGAGCAGCTCGTTAATTTAACAACCAGCTCCTGCTGTCAGATCGGACCAGACTGTTTTCAACATCATGAAGCTTGTGTTGCTGACCTGCAGCCTTTGGTCTACAACCACACGCCCACCCACAGGTGTGTTTGTCCCCACAAGGGCAGAAACATGCTGAGGCCTGTAGGGCCAGCATTTTATACAAGGAGCAGGTTTTTAGGTTTTTAAAGCCCCAAAAAATGAGACTCACATTAAACCCACATAATAAAGTTTCTTAAAAAATGTCAGGACTTCAGCCTCGGGTCTCTAATCAGAGTTAACTGGTCACGGTGAATCAGGTTCAAACACAATGTCTTCGGGCTTGGGTCGGGTCAGATTCTTTAGGCCTGACCTTAACTCCAGTGCAGTGTGGCCAGATGGACTGCAGCTTTGTTGGTTGCGAATGCAAAAACTCGGGCATGGGAGGAATTCAGGGAGGACATAGACGGGGACTTTAGTTGGCATCAAGGAGGTTTTGGCAAATKYTTCAACGACTCAGAAAAGTGTTCCCTGTCCCAGGCTGTGCATGGTTTGGGTTGGGAACTGCTGACTCAGACTGAGGATATTGTTGATCGATGAAAGGAGCACTTTGAGGATCTCAATGCATCCACCATGRCCACCTCTGAGAAAGAGGAGTCTGAGGACTCGGGGGAAGACAAGTTCATTACTATGGCAAAGATCACCAAGGTGGTCCAAAAGCTCCTCAGTGGCAGGGCACCTGGGGTGGATAAGATTTGCCTCAAGATGATGAAGGCTCTGGATGTTGTGYGGTTGRCCTTCAACATCGCATGGAGGACTAGGACAACTCCAGACTGAGGTTGRGGTTCCGATTTTTAAAAAGGAGGGCRGAAGAGTGTCTTAACTATCGTGGGATCACCTTTCTCACCCTCCCCAAGAAAGTTTATTTCAGAGTGTTGGAAGGGGAGGCTCCGATTGATTGGTGAACCTCAGACTCTAGAGGAGCCACGTGGCTTGGATACCAAGGCACAGTTGTGGAGGGGAGAGGTGTCTGGTTTGGTGGTTCAGTTGGTGTCTTTGGGTCAAGACCTTCAGCGTGCTCTGAGGTGATTCGCAGAATCAGAGACCTATTTGCCCTGGGAGACTCTGCCAGGGGCTATTGATCCAGACAACATATTTCCCAAAACCAGTGGGTACTCAAACCCCTCCACTAGGGTTAAGATGGTGATTCTGTAGAGGGGGTTCCTAAATGTTTAATTAAAAAATACAAGGTAACTGACATGCCATAGTTGGTATTGATGTCCATCATTGAATATCATAATTTGAAATATGCTGGGGGTGGTATGATGGATCAGTTGGTAGAGCTGATGCCTCCCAGCAAAGATGTTTCCGGATCAAATCCCGGCCAGGACCTTTCTGGATTGAGTTTGCATGTTCTCTCTGTGCATGTGTGAGTTTAATCCAAGTACTCCGGTTTCCTCCCACACARCAAAAACATGACTGTGAAAATGTTCCCTGAGTGTGAGTGGATGATCGTCTCATTTGTCTTTGTGTCCCTGTGATGGACTTGAAACCTGTCCATGGTGCACCCTGCCCCTCGCATGGTGACTGCTGACTTTGAAAGGAAGAAGAGGGGATTGAAAATGGATGAATTATGCTGTCAYTAGTAGGCTAATCATCTGAAAATAAGAATAACTGATTTTCTTTTWTCCAAATGAGTTCTTTAGGGAGGGAGATTTTTATCCAGAGTCCACCGTGTTATTATGTATCTAGATACATAATCATAATGCAGGATGGAAAAACTTATAAAACTGATAAAAAGGCCTGTAGAAGTATATTAAAGTCTATGTAAGTGTAAATTTCTACTTTTGCTGATTATCTTTTTTAGAACTAACAAACTAGGCAAACACACCAAAGAACCATTTAACAATCTGGCCGAAGCCTGTGACGTCGACTTATGCTTACAACCACCTCCCACAAAGAGACAGTATGGATATATTATACATTTCCTGAATCCTTAGAATCATGTGAGTACTGCAGTAARTGACTCTTCTGTTTCTGATGCCCCTGGGTGTCACAGAGCTAAATGAAAGTATTTAATTTGGGCAAAAATAGTGCAAAAATGTGTATTTGTGGTTTAAAGAGTACTAATGTCCCCTGTGTTGATCAAAGACACAAATAAGGGCTTAAATGAAAGCCCAGAGGGTCTCCTTTAAAATGATCCCAAACACAGTATTATACACCTTTTGACTAATGTCTGTATCATGAGCTCAAACTAGCTGAACAAAAGTGTCAAAAACAGAAGTTTTCTTAACAGGTTATTAACTTTCTTAGCTGCTAGCTGTGATTTAGCTCCACTCTGGAAGGGCTYTCATACCAAAATATCATCAACAGACATGTTCCTTTACAAAAARTAWGATGAAGCTTTGCCACCCTGAAATGGACCAAATTGTGAAATGTTGGTCTCCGGCCTCAAAGTGTGTTTTTGTTTATCAGAATCTAATTTGAGTTATTAAACCAAGGAAACAAAAAGCTAATGTGTCAAATTCAGGGTGTTATCTGTTTGGTTAAAATAGTCACTAACTCATGCTTTTATTTTATTTTAACCTGTTAATTTTGACATTATGCCAATTGTGGTCCTGGCGTGTGTGTGTGTGTGTGTGTGTGTGTGTGTTGGGTGGGTCTCTGCATTCTTGTCTGGAAACAGGAGGAAAAATATCCGGAGTAATGTTGTGGAGACCCCTGTTTTCTGATTTTCTGCTCTCTTTTTGCAGACCCTTAAAGTCGCTCATGTTGTTGCAAACACAAATCTCCTGAGACATTTTGAAGCTCAGCCTGCACGTGTGTAAATTAGTGATGTGTAGAAACGCCTTTGTAGTTGTGCTTGTAGGTGGTGTTGTTAGAGAGTGGGGGGTCCTCCATAAATCATCAGTCTGACCTTTTTAGACTGAGGGGTGAAAAGATGTAGTTTTTTTAGGAAGGGTGGGGGTGTTTTACGTACACGCTGTAAACTTTTCTCTGCTGTATAACCCATGACTTCCTGCTCGTTTTTAATCATCTTCTATCTGTTTTTATTTCTCCAGCAATCTGCAAACAAGGCTGCAACCTGCTGCACGGTGGCTGCTCTGTCCCCGGAGTATGCGAGTAAGAAAGCATTCTTGATTTATTTTGACGTTGGCGTTTAAAATCACTGTTTTTATAGGGCTTTTTTTAACGAGGCCTTTTGGACAACATTGAAAGTCAAGGACATCTCCACAGATATGGCAGGCCATTTTACTATAAAATCTGCTTCTCTACTCTTGCCAGATATCTGTAATTGGTTTATGACTAGACGTATTAGTTAATTAAYATGTCTCTAATTACAATCTGACTAATGAAAATGACAGATTTGACTTGTATGGAGGCTCTAATTGAAGATATCTTAAAAGTGTTGACTCGTCAAAAATGTTCTAAACTGTTCTAGATATGTTAGTTTTTACTAGTCGTTTSAACATATCTCACTTCTTGACTGGTAATAATTCTAATTAAAGATGTCTTAAATGATGTCATTATTCAAAGGGTCTTAAATGTATTTGTAGATATTAGCAGTGTTTTACTAATCTGCTAACAGTGGAACTAGATTCTCAGAGTATTTGTTTTTTTGTTAACTTTGGAAACAGACTGATCAGCTTCAGCTAAATTAGGATCTGCTTATTTTAAGTCCACTAAAATATTAAACTTGTATTTTTATTCTATTAAATAAAAGCTATGTGCTCTTACAAGCAGTGTTGGATGTGTCAGCTACTGTGTAGCATGTAGCATCTTTAGCAGCTAACCTTCAAACTGAGAGCGTCCAAAAAGAAATYTAGAAGTATAAATACTAAAATTGTTAAAAAAATAATTAATTTAATTGTTAAAGTTTTTAAAGCTACTCAAACAACAAACCAAACTAACCAAATAGCAAACAGTATTTATAAGAACACAAACTTGATCAAATGAATGCTTAATGTGGAAGTATAAATCAAACAGAGCTATAACTCTGGTTTAGATTGGCTGATTTGGCACAAATGATCCCGCCCAGTAGATTTGTGTCCGTCTCACCAGTCTCACCAGTCTCACCAGTCTCACCAGTCTTCAGCAGGAAGAGATGAAGTGTCTTAGTGGTCAGTGTTAGCTTCCACGCATGTTTTTTAAAATATCCATTTAGCGTTAGCTGAGCTAAATGTTTATTTAGTGACTTAGTGTTTAATAAATCTAACTTTTTGGTTCACTGTGCCTAACACTGAATAACAGAGATAAGATTTGACAATTAAATTGCAAAAATCTTGACGGTGAATAATGACCAGGAAGTTTTTGATGAGTCATGATTCCTTTTAAGATCTCTCTAAAGTAATTTATATTTTTTTCTTATTAGTCATAAAATAAATGCAGATATCTTAAATTATTCAGGATTATTAAAATGTAGTTGTTTTGAGTCAAAATGTTATTCTTAGACATCTAGAATGTAATTACAGGTTTTATGCTACAATGGCCTGCCGTACCACAGAAGGTTTATCCCCCTCTTAAACCAGGTCTGACAGTTTTAGGACCCCCCAACGTGTTGATTTAGACAGGTCTTTGATTCTGAGGACAGCAGCACTCAGTTAACGGTTATTTATAGGTGAATAAAAAATAAAAAGTGTTTCCCTGCAGCTCGACCCTCACATCAAACCTCCTTAAGAAGAAAATCTCTAAATGAGTCCCTGAATAATTCTTCTTTACACGACTGAACCTGTGCTGATAAAGATGAAGCACCCTCGCTTGTTGAAGCCTGTTGGTTTCTGTGTTTTCCTCCCTGTCCCCTGTCGGCCCACCCTTCCCTGGTGGGCACCTCCTGCTCCCCTCAGCAGAGCGCCGTCTGCCTCCTCAGAATACAGAGTCGACGCTGCAAACGTGCTGGGAATCCTCACATTCTTCCCCTTTCCTCATCCGCATTGCGACGGTCCTCCTGGAAGGGCAGGGGGGCAGGAGGGGAAATGAATATCCCACTGTGATTTGCCCCCCCCCCACACCTCAGTTAATGGAGTGACGCTGAGTGTCCCCCCGGCCCCCCCAGGCCCCTCGTTTCCAGGATGCAGGTCCATCCCGTTGTGACTCGGAGGCTCCCCTCCCCACCTGCCGGATGGAGAGAGGCTGGTTCTGGTTCTGGTTCTGATTCTGGTTCTGATGAGGGGATCTTCAGCTCCACAAACTGAACCGTTTTCACAACAACAGGAAAAGTGACACGAAAAGGGAGCGGCCATAAAAGTCTTTCCTGCAGCGGCATGAATTTAATGAGTCCTCCGGGCAGCGAAGAGCTGCTTTCTTTTCTTTCTCTTTATTTTATCACGCCTTCATGGGCTTTATGGTGCTGAGCCACGGGCTTTTTGACAAAAAGCAGAAGAAAGCTGGGACGTGCCTGTTGTTACCATGCTCCACTGAGCTCTTTTGTTCCACAGCATCAGGCCTGTTCTGACACATGGAGCAGCTTGTCCCAAGAATCACCTTCAATATTTAGTTTAACTCATTAAGAGGCAGATCTAAAGCCCTAACCCCAGTCTGTTYGTAAAATACCTCATGAACCACTAACCAGACTGTGATGAAACTTCCAGGTAAWAATAATTAGATGTACGTCTACAGCTGATTAACTTCTGGAGTCCCCCTGATTCAAGATGGCCGCTATAGCCAGGTTATTTTAAAAAAMGCAAAAGACGATAGAGTTCAGGCAGTTTTACAGGTATGAAGCTCAAATCTGGTGTGGTAGTAGCTGTGAGTGCTTCACAACACATACTGCTGCTCTTACCGGAAATAACTTTATTCAAACTGTTGAGTCAACCCTGTTTGTCTGTTAGCAAAATATCTTAAGAACTACTGGATGGATTTCAATGAAACTATCAGGAAATAACTGGGTTCATGTTTCCAGCTGATTAACGTTGGGAGTAGATCTGAATCCAGATGGCTGCCACAGCTGAGTTAAAATAACACAAAACCATGTAATTCATGCTGTTTTTCAGATATGGAGCTGAAATGTGGTGCAGCTGCTGTAAAACCACGTAAACACCTGTCAGCAGGAGCTGATCAGGCTCTGAACTCCTGGTCCTTGTTGTGTAGTGTTAGCTCAGCAGCATGAGGACCTGTTACACACACACACACACACACACACACTCTCAGTGTTTTCTTCTTGTTCCCTGGTTGTCACAGCTCTGTGACGTTAGACCCCCCCCTGCAGAGAGGGGCAGTTTTCCAACAGCCCCTCTCTGAGAGGCAGCGGTGCGTCTGCTGGGGCTCAAAATAGAAGGCAATTGACAAGACAGCTGGCAGGACCACACAAACACACACTGTGAACACACACACAAACACACACTGAACACACAGTTGTGTCGCTGTCTGAAGCCGTCTCCTCTGCAGCAGGAGGAGCTCCTGACCTCCTGACTCAGCAGATAAAATATTCAGGAGTTAGTTTTGTGTTCAGCTGGTTGGGTTGAAYCAGTTCTTATTTTGTGTTAACGTTCGACACACATGTGTATCAGTCTATGGCCTGTTCTCTGATTGGTTGTTGTTCTGCACAGGTGCAGCTACGGCTGGCAGGGCCAGTTCTGCGACGAGTGCGTGGTCCACCCCGGCTGTGGCCACGGGACCTGCACCCTCCCCTGGCAGTGCAACTGTGAGAAGAACTGGGGCGGCCTGATGTGTGATAAAGGTACGAGCTAACGCTGTTAGCATCACAACGTCTTTAGCTTTATCTCAAACTATTAGCTGAAGATTTTAGGGCTGTGAAATTAATCGAGTTAACTCTGATTAATTTTACTGCTGCATGGGCATAGATTAAAAAATTTAATCACAATTAAAATGTTCAATGACTTTACTCTGAATCTGTAGGTTTGTATATTAC